AGGTCCCGGCAAGTAATCACACTCTTGGAGTAGTTCTTTGAGGGGTGAGGGTGCACCGACATGGACACCCTAACCTCTCCCTGTCCTCGTACTTTGTAGATTAGTGTGGTCGTCTTGGGCATGCGCTGGATCTCGTGTTCGTCTGTTAAATGCACTTATATGCCCCCATCCGTACACGAAAGGACATCCTTGGGTGTTCCGATCCTGGAAAATGCTTGTTGGCGCTGAAACGGGTTCAGTCGGAGCGGAACTGTTTTTCCTTGGTCATCTACCTTTGCGGATCTTACGACCAGAAACTGGGACAGTGGCACAGGACGACGGTCGGAGCTTGGAGGTTTGGTTGATGATATAGTGCCCATGAGTATGCATTTATATTCGGCGCGCTGGTTCCCCGCCAGCCATGGAGCCCAACACGGGGACGGTCCACTTCTAATAGAGGAGCCGCCGGGGCTACCAGCACGCTATATGCAGACCAGTGTGCCAAAAGAGCTGCTGCGAGAACCGCCGGGCACGAGTCCGCGGGCGCCAGTGCCTCGGTTCGCAGGGGCTAACCAGGCACCCTGGTAACAAACCGAGGTACGGCCGATTAATGGTGTTAGGAGGCAGAAAATGCACCCAGCAGATCCCTCTCAACACACATCAATGGCCTGCTTGCTTCCAAGCCAGTGTCACGAAAACATGACGCCTGGCCAGCCGATTTCCTCGTGTGGAGACTTCACGAGGCATCCGCAGGATCACAAATTCGGGCCAAAGTCACGTGTTAGTAAGCTGCCACGACTCATCTGCAGGGCAACTCCCTCAGTGACCATGATCCCTTCGTCGCTACCTGCGGATCCAATGGGGTACGGCGAGACCCAGATAAGACTGGAAAGCTGGGGCCGAGGTGTTGCTAATCCCTACTGTGAACGAGTCAGAGCCCTTGCGGGAGGCACGTTTCATCTGGCCCCTCCCCTTTGGCCGGAAGGGACACTTTACAAGCCTCCCCAACCGCTCGCAGGATCATTGGGGCACACAATCCCCCCCCCCCCCCCCACCACCACCACGGAAAGGCGGTGCCTCACGGGGGGATTCGTGGCTACGGCAAACAGCTTCCTGACGGCTTATTTTCTGCTGTGGTGAGGTGCAAGAGATCAATGGAAAATTGATAGTCTAGTAGGTGTCCATCATATGCTTTGCATGCAAAAATTAGTGATGCTGATCCATAAACATGCAGCAAAGCAGTCATCCGATCATTTCGTAGCCAGTGATACGGGAGACCGCCGGGCCGCAGGCTGCGGACGGGAACGGGGCTTAGGTAAGGAATATCCGAAAGAAAGGCCTTCATTCTGTGGCTTAGCTTTTTCACAGGGGGAACTGGGAATTCATGGTCTGTGTCACATTATTTTTGGCAGTCAGTATTTAGAGCTTCCAAACTTGTTCCCGCCTGAAATGCTGGGTAAATCTTATATCTTGAAAGCAGACGGTGAAACGTACAAAAGTCGTATAAAACTCTAACGCACTACGAGCCGTTGATTCACTTTCAAAATCCTTGCCAGCTTGTGCTCCGGTAGTATCGGCCGCATTTAGGCATCTACACTGTGGAGGCAGATGCCTCTCAATGCCACAAAATGCCTTATCCCGCTGGAATTTCGCCTCCACAGGAAAACTCATGTTGAAATGTACGAGTAACCTTACGAAGCTGCGGTCTTACTTGCCAAACAACAAAGCTAAGCCGGTTACGCAAGATTGTGCACCAGTGGAAAACAGCTGTACATGTACATCTAGGATACCTACCATGACATGTTAATGGTGCAAAAATGTGTTATGAGTTAAGGGCGGATAACGTTCTCCATCTCCTCTTCTGAAGTCCCTCTGAGTATCGCAAAATTTCGATTTGGGGTAGCCGACCTTGCGGGAGAAATCTCATTTGGCTCCGATCGCCACCATGAAAGTAAGAAGTTGCATTTGCCTTATTTTTCCAACGTGTGTGTTCTGTAACATATGCGACACACTTATGTATGGGCGTAAGAATGTTTCAAAAAGTCGGGAAGGGGCGAGCTTTTGCTGGGAAGCAAGCCTGGTAAGGGGGAGGGAGGGGGGTGATGATAGATATGTAGGTTATTGTCTGCTCTTAATTCACATAACACATTTTGGAGAAACAATGAACGTCACGATTGCTATGCTACCGTATGCTATGACGCTGCTGCAGAAACCACATCTACAGCTGTTTCCCATTGGTGCACAGCCTCGCCTTCTCATCCCATCTATGCCATTCGGGAAATAAGGCTGTACAGCTTCCCAAGATTATTTGTTCATTTCCACATTGTTTTGCCAGTGGAGAAGGAATTCCAAGAACCAGTAGACGTTTTGGGTCATTGAGGAGCCATCCGCCTCCACGGGGTACATGATACCCTACATGTAGATCCCCCACAACCAAAAATGCGTGCCGCCGCCTATGGCTGCCATAAGTGTGGCTTCGGCGCCCTTAGGTGGAAGGGGCACGTGCCTCCAGTACCTCCAAGTCCCCCCCCCCTCCCTCCCTCTGGAACAGTCCCTGCAGAACCGCTATGAAGCTTAAATCAAAGGTTATTTTTTAATGATACGAATATTTACGGTACGAACTGCCTCTCGCCACACCAGCGGGCTAAGCCCGTCGAAAAAATTATGGAATGGGTTGGGTCGTCGGGCCCTCGGCTCGGCCACTCCAATCATTTACAAAAATTGACACCACTGAGTCATAGTGAGACAAGAGCGTCGAACGGCATTCACATGGTCGTAAGGAATGCTTCACATTATTGCAAAACGACGCGGTTCAGCAGCACAACCAAGAACCTATGGGGTGCAGAGAAATCGCGCCGGCCTCTTGGGAAAGCTGAACAAACGGCCATCGCTTGTGTATTTTATTGCCGCACAAAATTCAGCCACGTTATTTCGAAGCTGTGAGGAACGCCGCGTGGTCGACAACACGCTCAAGCACACGTCTGCACAATTATCTAGAATACCCGATGAAGAGTGCAACATTATCATCGAGCGTCGAAAACAGACGATATGCGGGCCAACGTAGCAGCACCAAGACGCTCTGGTCGATGATGAAGTTTAAAGGTGAGGCCATGAATTAAACGCTGAAGAATAGGTTTGACTTCACATAAGCATACACAAGTACACAAGAACACTCGTGACGGCAAAGATAATGACCATTGGTGCCCACTTTACCCAACGTTTTATACTTCTCGACTGAACAACCGTAAGTTACTGAATAATATTATACCCAGATCATTCATCGTCTCTAGCTTCCATGCAAACATTGCTCAACAATACCGTAATAAAGCACTGCGCAAATCTTCGTGGCTGCTACTTGATCTTGTCACTACTTCTCTTTTGACCAGGTTCCGTCTCGTATTCATCCCACACAGGAAACGCTGACGATGCTTCAGGGGCTTTGGACGCGATTTTTTCACCTCTTTGTTCTGCCAGCTTGTCAGCATTAATCTTTTTCAAATCCATAATGGCTTTGTTCCGAGCAACCTCTTCGTCCGATGGAGGCTGCTTCCTTCTCTTCCTCAGCCATGCCTCCCACTCCGCTGGCATCTCCTGATCGAACTTCTGACCCACGGGCTCTATCCATCGACGTGGCTGGCGTTTGCCACGGGATGGGTCCGCCGGTTCTTCAAAATATTTATTGCCGAAGTAATCGGATCCCATGAGCTGGCCAGTCCGCCTTTTTGGTGTCAGCGATTTAATGAAGTTCCTTACGATTATCATCAGGAGATTTCTTTCTGCGGGCATGCTTATCTGAAGAAAAGAACATCATGACTGTAAGACAATGTGTGACCTTACCTCCACAGCTGCTTTCAGGGACAGAAGCTAGCGATCAGATAAGTCTAGTAGTATAAGTCTATTGTCAAATTCACATCATTTCATGTCAGGTAGAAAAAGTGAACCCTGACATACGGAAGTATTCTGCCTTTTGGTAGTGTCCTAATGCACGCTAGCAGCTATGAGCAGGCATGCAGCCATACCTTTCTTCACGAGAGAAGGCCTAATGTGAAAATTCCCCCAGCCCCCGCACCTTTGGACTAAATGCGTGCAAAACCACCCCATATCAAGCGTAAATTTATTTGCTGGCTTGTCCCTGATTATAATTCGGAGTCGGTATTCAATACAACGCCCATGTAGACCGTAATGTGAGCATCCCACCTTTTTGCATTCTCACTTCAATGTTACATCAGATGCATACAATTCGATCAGTAATACTACTTTCTCGAAATGCAGAAATCATTTTGCTCCAGAAATCATCGTGCAAGCCGGGCATGTCGGAGCTTGGCAAAATGAAGCCTAGTGCAACATGCCGTCTTCGAGACCACAGCCAGGATCTTGCCGAAATTGACATGACCGGATGCACGGATTCATTCACTGTAATTACCATCCACTTCAAGCCCTCCTGCATACTTTTCTGTTCAAACAGCAATTTGCATAGAAGTTGCCATATGGCCATATCGCCACCACCGAGTAATTCAAGTAAGCCGTGCGAAAGCGTACGTGCTGTGATTGCCGACGGTCAGCGGCATTTTATCCATCATTAATCATGCGGGCGGAAGAGTTGGGCCACGGTGGCCAAGGTATTGCAGCCCTCTGCAGGTTACCTCACAGATTGAGCAATGTGACAATCTGCCGGTAATGCGACATTAGAACACGATGGCATGGTTTGGTTTACACGCAAACTTCAAAAGAATATACGTAGGCAGAGCAAAGGGAGACTTTCAAAGGTTGTGGCCACAAGATTGATTGGGGTCATCGATGGGGATTGGGCTTTAAGGGAAGTACACCGCACTCGGCCCACCTCAAAACGGTCTCAACCGTCGCCTAGCGAAGAGGGCGCCTGTTTATGTACCATTCGCCGAGGGCGCGTCTGTTCGCCTGACCCGTTTTGCGTTGCGCCGTCCATGGGACGAACGGCGGGTCGCTGAATGATGAAATTTGGACCCGACACGCGAGCGCACGAGGCGGTTTTCCGTTGGCAGATCGTGAGCCGCTGCGGTGCGAGGTCTGGACGTGGCACGTGTCGGAAGGACCGTTTTGAACCCATTATTTTTGCACAGGCGGCCCGAAAATGTGGCTGACCACAAAGGCGACGGGCAGCCGTTCGAAACTGTGGTCACAACGCGGCAACCAAGGATAGGAGAACAAGAAATCGACCAGCTTCGGTAGATAATTAAACCGGGAACCGCATGGGCCAGACACACGGCTGCACGCGTCGCGTGGACGGAAGTGGCCAAGATGAACATGGTCGGCTTTTACGAATTTTCAAATTGTATATCTCGGCAGCTAAAGAGCGTGGAGGCGCGAACCGAATTTCAGGACGCCGACCAACGCACCGTGTGCAATTCATGGTCTCAACACGACTTTTTTTCCACGCACGGTTACGCCGATAATCGTCCGGCAAGCCGGGAACGTCGGTATCTAGGAAAACCACGCCGAACACCAATACGCTATCGTCGAAACTGTGGCCAGAGTCGTGGTGAAATTTACATTGTGACGTGCACTGCCACATTGCCTGCATTTACCACCCATTTATTCGTAATATGCACACTGTCCAGTCCATACATGAACTATACCTAAACGGCTGCAACTATACATTTTCGCGCAACCAAAATGCGATTGGTCAATTGCCCGGTCGCCGGGGGCCAGTATTTTCAGTTAAACGAAGAAACGCACACGTGCTGGATGTCGCTGGCCTCCGGAAACCGGCAGTCATTCATTCATTCCCCTCGGAACCTAAGGGGGGCACGTGCCCCTGCGCCTCCTTCCCCCCCCCCCCTTCCCTGAATGCGGTTCTGCTCCGAACGCAATGGAAATCTGGACAGCAGAATTTTAACGCCACTGGTAGTTAGCACATCACACCAGGTTCCTGCCAGGCACGCCGGCAGCGAGAGTCCGGGTCGGCCATGGAATCTCATGAATGGTGCTGAATGCATCACAAAAAATCCAAACACATATCATATATAGATGCTCCATCATTTAATGAGGCAAGCACACAAGCATTTGCACTTACTTAGGCAGCCTGGGTTTAAGGGACTGTTATACACTTATGAGGGGTTGTGAACTAAAATAACTGCTTTGAAGATTTCTTGGTGCAAATTCACAACCCTGCCTCCCTTAAGGCCCAAAAACTTCTTGTTTCTGAGCTAAAGGCCTGCAGTGATGTGCTGACTACCATGTTCAACTCACCTAATGTAACAATAAACATAATCATTGCACCCATTGGTGTGATTGCCAACATACCAGTTTTAGCAGCTGGTCCAACACTTGTCCTAGTCTGCAAACAACTTCATCCACTATGACAAAGTCCCCTCTATGACACTGGTACAGATTCCTGAACCTTTTGCTGGCATGGACTGAAGTAAGGCCAAGCTAATTTGCACTGATTTTTTGTGACATTTGCATGATAAATTTTTAGAAGCAAACTTGTCTGAAATGAACTTGGCAACATGACATTCATGCCATACATGTACTGAGATTTCATGTGATGCTGCAGCTATGTCTATCATGTTTGGTGTAACAAGTATGCTTCAACTCAAGCAGTCATCCAATGTTATTGGTCTTGGACGGACCTTCAGGATTTTGTAATGTATCCACGCATGCCGTACAGCCTTGGACTTTGCTGGAGCTGAATGCCTTGAAGCCTTGATTGTGTTACTTGCACAAGTGACAGTGCCTGGAATGTGTTACCCGATGCATTGGTCTGTGTATGTGGGGGAAAAATAAAAGCATTCCTGAAAACATGCTGAAAATTTGAGAACGCTCTCGATTATACACACTTACGTGATCTTGCCCACAATAAGAGGCAAGAGCATGCATGGTTTTCATAGGTTTCAATCACTGCATCTTTTTTTTGCTCAGATTTGGGGTGTCATGATTTGATCTCTAAATGATCTTTATCATGAAAAACACAGATTACACTTCCAGATAATAGGCTAGAGCAACCTATCCCATCAGGAAGTTACGTCGTTCAGGTAACAGTCCCTCGCTACACTAAAATCAAATTGCGTGCAGTCGCAAGTGTTGACCACTTTGCCTTCGCACTTTTGTTGCAAAGATACTCCAAAGAACCTACTAACCTTCGGTTAATCGCCTTCTTGTAGTTCGAAAATCTGTATGCCTTTTACACCACCCAACCCCCACGCAACTGCAAGAAATTGCGTACATACACAAAGTCAAGCACTTTAAAACCAAACGCTCGACCTTGTCGCCGCAGCGCATGTTTCAGTGGCAGCCTTCTGACTAATTTACTGCATATATTTGTTGCTTCGCTGTGTCGCCACGGTCGCCAGTGCGCTCGTGGTTTTTTTTTGTTGCCAGAAATGTAGAATCGGTTACTATATCGCATCATTAATCTCTGAATGCACTTGATACCAAAAATTTGTAAATCTGCAGCAGCAACACGTTGCTATGGTCACTCTTGTTCCGTCATCATCACGATTGTCAGCTGAAATGCCTGACGCCATGCATGCTAACGGAGCGTTCGACGCGTGGGCTGAGGGGATAATTTTTTTAACTTCGCTTTCCCTCTTTTCCTTTGCCTTTTAACTGCTTCAGACCACAGACGAACTCTAGTCCACCGCCGACCATGACACACTACCCACACAGCGGTGTTTGGAAGTGCGGCTTAAGCCCCGGTATTGCCATCGTCTATCCTATCCGTAAGTTAAGTGCTTCTTTCGATTCGCAGTTAATTTCAAGTCATTCCCTTATCATTTTAAGCGTTCATTTAAAACGATGTATATTTTGGGGGGGGAACTTAACCGAACATAACAGCAGCCAATGTCACTGGCCTTTTCATGGCTACTCTTGGCAGTTCAATGCGCGTCTTATCTATCCTTCGTTGCATTTGCTCAAAAGTAGAGAGAAGCGCCTCACCCCGCCAAACGTCGCGCCAACGCAAGAGCTACCCAAGTTTCCGCCTCTTCGTCAGAGTGATTTTTAATCCGGCAGTGCTTTCTCCAGATGCTGACGGGCTCACAAAACATCCTTGCGTCATAGTCAACCGACGAGTAACGTTGCAGACCATGTGACCTTGTGGTCACTTGACGTGGCGTAGGGAGAATGCTGGGCTGTGACTTGTACTGACAGACGTGCTTACAGGTGGGACGCGGCCTATGTTAAATGTACGTCCATCGCATGATTATGGACGCATCTAATCTGTCGTCAGCACGCTTGTCAGCACCAATCACGACCCAGTATTTGCCCCACGCCACGTCACGTAACCACAAAGTCACATAGTCTGTCACGTCACGCGACGGCTGACGATGGTTCCGTCCGATTTGTCGTCAGCACGATTGTCAGCTGGAATACGTGACGTTACGCGTGCTGACGGCAGGGACCAGGGAAATGGATCCAGGATTTCGTCAAGGGGGGCCACGCAACGTTGTTGGACCCCCTGGAGTTTGGGGCCCTCTCCAAAAAAATGTCCTTGCATTTCGGTCATTGCATTTTGAGACAAGTTGTATGTAACACGCACATATACATATATATATATATATATATATATATATATATATATATATATAGAACATATGTATACACATATAGGTACGCATGTATACATTTATGTATTTCCTTGTTGATTTTTTTCAGAAATACGGAAACCCATCATGCTGTGCACGGCCTTAAAAGGCTAGGTGCGCGTGCCTACATGTAGAACCTCGCTCACTTCCTACAGATCCTGCTAAATGCTGTGATATTGAGGCTAAGTGTCTCGGAGCAACAGGCAAAATCAACTTGAGTTAGCTGCTGACAACCATCGAAACCAAGTATGGATTTGATTTCTAGCTTATCTTTTTACGGCTAGCTGGCTGAGCGATGTAATGTTGATGGGTGATGACTAGTGCAGAATTTTTCCTCTGTTATAAAGGAGTACAGCATACCCTAACATTCGAAATATGTTAAGAACGCGGCGCACGGGTAAAACAAGTGTCAGACACTCAATAGCTAATGAAAATGACACATACGACGTCGGCGGCATGTAAAATCACGTCTGACAATTGCACATATGAATTCATCGGCGCATATTCGACCACTGCTCTGAGGCGAAGGCACCAAGGCCGATAGGGACGAAACCTGAGCGATCATGGGTGCCACAGGAGGCCAACAAGGTAGCTCCCGTCAACAAGTATAGGGTACGCAGAGCAGGCAAAAACAACCGAAGACCAACGTGGTGGTCCCATGAACGACCGCTAGTGCCTCGGCAGGCTGACATTATAAAGCCCCGGCCAGAGCACAAAGCCCTCCGAGCGAAGGGGAATTATCCAGGGCCACGAATTAATGCCCCTGTGCGATCAAGAGAGCGCAGGCGGGTTAACAACACGAGCCTCGATAGGAATGAAGGGTCCTCCGCAAACGAGACCAAAGGGAGAGAGCCCTCGATCAAAGTAGATGGCCCCTGAGCATCGGACGCCTTCGCGCCTTACCTTATAGAAGCCATAGCAATAATACAAGGCCCTCCAAGCAAGAAGGAGCATCCCGATACTTCAATGAAGAGCCCCTGCGCAACTGAGTTTACCCTGGCATATGGGACCTGGAAAAAGCGTAAAGACCCTTTCGGGCGAATGGGAAGAATCTGTGGAGGAAAACCTGATCGATCAACGGTGCTCAGGCATGGAGGCAGATAGCGTCCCAACAGCCATTGGGCTCTTCAAAAAAAATCAGAGATCAAGGGCAACGAGGAAAGCTCCTTAGCGATCAGATCAGCCCGGCAAGTGGACATACAGGGCCAGGAAACCAACAGCGCACTGGCTCTAAACAGCGTAATGAGCTCCAAAATTTCCCCCAAGCATCACTTTCCCAATCAGCAAAAAATTAACTTGGTCTGTTCATGAACTCTTCACTTTTGCTAACACTTCTTCTTGGTCGTCTGTAGGCCCAAAGGCTTCCAATTTTGTTGTAAGAAAACTGTGTCCGTCCGGCCAGTTAAAGGCCCCTTCGGAGCCTTTAGGTTCCCACGGGGTCAACGAGTCGGGCGAAGACAAGCTCCATGGCAGTGACGGCAAGATAACCGAAAGTGGCCCCCGCTGTGACGGCGAGATGGACGATGCCAACGTCGAGCATGGGGCGCTGGCCTTCGTTGCTGGCTTCGTGGCGGTCAAATGCAAACACCTCGATCCAAGTATGGGACTGTCGACCCGAGAGGTACCACCCAGCTGTGTGCCAGACAGCTGGATACACACGATAAGCCATGGTGATTTGATGCTAGCGTCGCCGGTCTGGACAAGCATTGGCGTGACTTTCGAGATCGCTCTCCAGCTAGTGATGGGCCGAGGCATGGACCGAGCCATTGGTATCGTCGACCGTCTCACAAAGCTCCTGCTGAGAAAGTTCTGCACTGGACAAGCGGTTTGCTCGGAAGCTGGTGACGATGCGTATCCATCTGCGCCTCCGACGGCTTAATGAGGCTGGGGCTAAGCGGGCTGCTGCCGGGCGCGCAGCCAAACAGGTGCAACATAGGTGGACAGCGCGAAGTGAAGAACATTGTTGTGCTTGCGTGACCATACGCAATTGAGCTTAAGTGAGCACTGTCGTGCCTTCTTTTTTGTCTTGCATGCTTGTATGTCTGTCTGAGACATAGACGGTTGATTTACAGATAGGCGTTTGGATTGTTGCAGACCGGTTAGCATATTGCATAACTCTAGATTTAAGCTGAACCATCTATATAAGTGTTCTCTGTCCCCCCCCCCCCCCCATTTGTTGCAAGTGGGAGTGTCATGACACACCGGTTCCCGGTCCCTAGACCTATGTTCGCTGTTGTGCACCCAGCGTGGCAAAAAATCCCACTTCATATTTCCTGACAGTACTTCTTGAAGTGCTCTGTGGCGATCACCAGATGCATTTGTTAGTAGGCGCACCGGCGTAGCAGATGCGAAGGTAATGCAGGCGGCGCGGTAACGCCAGGCCGCGACTTTGTGACGTCACCGTAATAGTGAAGGGAAAGTGGCGGAAAAATCCCCGGATAATCGTACCTTATTACACGGCCTTGGGAGTGGGAGTATTACATGATGCATGTGACGCACCGGCTGAAATTTCGCCCAGGCACTTTCCCGGCAATAGCCCGTGCCCGCTGGGCCAACCACAAACCTTCTTTTATTCGCACCAGTAGTTGGTCGTCATGATGACGGTGGTTGCGACTGCAAGGAGGAAGTGTAGCAGCACCAGGCGGTGCTGGTATGAAGACAGAACGACTTGGGACAAAAAATAATTGATATCACTAATAGATCTGGACTCAAAAATAATTGACACTGATATATTTATTGTTTTTTTTCGGTAGTACAGTGGCATTACAGAGCGCTTCTATTAATCTTACCAGTCCTGAGGTTTGTTGTGGGCCTAGCCTTCCGGTAGCGACCTTAGTCGTATTGGAAAAGGCTATGTAGGTAGGCATCCTGCAACCAAAACTTGAGCCTTTTCCACCGGTCATAACGCGATGTTTTCGCGTTTATCCATCGAGTTCACGAGTGGTCAGTTACCACACGGTGTCAAGATTATTAAAGCTTTACGGCGTGCCGACCATGGTTTGCCAGAGGACACCAACACTCAGTCACGATGTCACCGAACATAACTCTGGACCCGAATGACTGGTTGGAAGCTTCATGAGCGCAGTGGATGGCCTGGTGTTTGAGATACTCGCAGAGAATCCCGGTCATATCTTCACGAAACGTGAACAGCCCGCATTGGAAAGACACCAACGCTTGGTACACGAGGCACTGTATTCGCGGATCAGACCACGCGACTACTCACTTTCTATACCGGCCGCACCTTACAGCATCGCGAGCATCGCGCATCGCGCGAGCAGCAGCATCGCGACGCCCCCATACACAAGCGAAAGACTCCTTCGAGACAAAATCGGTGGTTACGTCACTCTCTGCAGATACTTGCGCACGCCCTCCGAAAAGTCATCACAAATCAAGCCCTGTCGCGTGTACGCGGCTTGGGGCCCGATGAGACCCCATCGGATGCGAGGCGGGGACTGGATTTCGGGATTTCAAAGCGCGCGGTAACCCGTAAGGCCAAATGGAAAGTCCCGATCCAAAAAACATGTATGGGTAGCTCCCAATGGCACTATATGTTGCAGCGGACCACGTTCTGGCCCGTAACTTTCATGTGCCAATCGGCCGAGATCGTGGACACATTTGGCGCATAGCCACGTGTGCTTCCCATACACAGCCTCGAAAGCCCCCCGGCAACTCTTGAGCTCCGAACTCATTATCTTGCTATTCGTCAACTAACGCTTTTGACACTAAATACACTGTGACAGCTTGCGGTGCAACAGAGCCGTCCGTGGAATTTGTTGTCAGTTTTCTTGATACAAGCCATACCGCGCGATCAACAGAAAACAAGTATTCAACGATTCACAAGCATAATCAACCGGTGCACCAGCCACCGCATGCAGCACCACTGGCCGCCGCTGGAGGCGGCGTTTCTGCAGTGCACGTGGCGGCGAGCTACGGCGCCTCCATCTTGATGGAAGGCAGCGTGGGCCGCCGATGGACGTCGGGCGTCACCTCCAGCTCCTCAACTGGCTCCTCGGCGACCGCCGGTGCCGTCACCCGCAGCCGGTACGTGCGCAACGCGTCCCTCACAGACACCAAGTACTCGTACATGGCCTCGTCGTCGACCTGCAAAGGAGCGGCCCGCCTCAGTGCGGCCCGGGGGCGGCCCCCGCCCAGACGCTGCAGAGTGCAGCCATGCCGGCACACCATTCTCCATGACGCTGGAGGCAATGGGCACATCAGACAGCGGAGGCTTGTCAGACCGGCCGCGCCGCGCACAGCCGTGCGGCTCGGACCGAAAGTCATCGCCTTAAACACCACATCTGCGCTTACACAGTGCTATCTCCCACAGTAACTGGAAGCAGCCCAGTTCGCCAGACCAATCGTCGCGTTGCTGTTCAGATATCAGGTGACGCTAGCCCAGCCCTACGCCCTGTGGCCCCGCCCAACTGCCACAACCACCAGCCAACAGGCGCCACCCCCTGACCCCGCTCCACTCACCGGGACCACCAGCTGACCGACGCACTGTCGGCGCGGCGGCGGCGGCACGGACTCCAGCGGTCGCTTCCGGGGCTTGGGCTTGGAGGGCCGACGGCGCATCTGATCGGTGCGGAAGTCACGGTGCGGACACTTGCACACCTTCACCTCCACCGTCTGCCTGCCCAGCGTCTCGCCCGTGCTGCCGACAGCCCGCCACGCCGTCAGTCATTCACGAGCGCCGGCCGCGCCACAAAAGTCGACAGGCACGGACAATCACAGGTGCACGGCACACGGCATACGTAAGACATACAATACTTCAGCCGAACGATTGCTTCAATTCCCAACCAGGATAACGTGGCGATGTAACATGCTATGTCACACAACGCACTTCATGCTACAGGAGAGGACGCATTTTGACTGCATAGGGGTTGTATTACCGTCGAACTTGTACGCTACGTACCGCACCGTTTCATTACCATTTCGGCCCTAGTTTCTTTTGAAGTTTGTGCAGAAAACATTGCAGTTGGCGTTCATCCGCGTGCCAAAACGAAAACCAAGCACCAAAGGCTTCACGAAACTATAAAAAAATGCATCGCTCACCAAGACCAATGCTTACTGCGACCTGGCTGGTTTTCATCCTACCTGCGGTCCTCCAATGTGAATAGCGCCACCAGGCGACGGCGGTTAATGCCACCCACGCAGGTGTTCATGCAGCAGAACTTGTAGAGCACCCTGCACTCGTCCGTGCCAGGCTGGGGACGCTCGTACGGCACCACCACGCTCCGGCGCTCCTTGGTGGTGCCAGTCTCGCGGTACCTGTCCCACAGCCAATGAGAGTGTCGTGACGGGGTTCGCTCGACCAATTTTATCGCCACGTGCGCGTCACCCATTAGGACGCCGTTGTTGCTCCAAAAATCACTTCAGGAGTTTACGAATCCCGCTCAGGGGGTCCCAAAGTTCGTGTTTGGCAGCACATCAAGGAAGTAAAAAACAACGCCATGCCATTGACACTCGTCACTTCCTCGTCATCTTCATAAGTTCTCAAAACGGATCCAGATGTAGTGTAGTTTGGGCAATGCAGTGGTTAAGAGGTTGCCTTTGGGACCCGACAACTCACATCTGGGAAATCGCACGGCACAGCAGTCTGTCAGCGTACCAGAAAAGCACACAGCTGAACTGCACTCACAGTTACGCTACTGACATTCGATGAATGGCGTTGACGACCACCAACGACGACGCACGATCGGCCCGTTCATTATCTACCCCGCGCGACTCACGTGGCGCTCTGGTGCACGGCACGAATCACGTGGTCCACGTGTCCGCCGGCCTCCGCGTTATGTTCGTCGTCTGGCTGGCGATGGGTGGGGCACCGGCGCACCGGGTTATTGACGTGATGCATCTCCGGGTACACCGGCAGCGCTGAGATGCTCAGCTGGCTCGTGTCGACGCCGTCCGCCACGCTGAAGCCGAACGGCACGGCGATCATCATATCCACGTACAGCTTGTTGGTCTCCGTGTCGTAGACGTACGGCTGCTGCCGGCCGTGCTGGGCGGGCGGCGGCGTGCGCACCGTCACGTGGAAGTCGTACTGGCCAGGCCAGTTCTCCAGCGCCGGGATCGCGTTGTTGACGGCCGACTCGACGAACCGGTCCCCGGACGGCTGCACGGGCGAGGTGACGGGCGCCGGCGGCGGTGACGGGTGCGGCAGCACGTACCGCGGCCGCTCGCCCGCTCGCTGCTGCGCCGACAGCTGCGCGGGCACCAGCATGCGGGTCGCCGTCCCGGGCCACGAGCCCTCTGCCGTCTGCAGCTGAAACAGGCACGGCGTCAGGCGCCGCCGCACGACACGTGCCGTCCGCCGGCGAAACTCGACCCGGCGAATTCCGCACTCACAGTTCCCGATCCGTTCCGGAACCATCATGCATTTCATTAGAGGCCAAGTGGCAAAATGATTACGTTGTAATGTTTCAGGCGCTACGCATACTTTGACAGGCTAAGTCGATGACGATTCCGGGATAAAGACAAGATGTTAAAAAGGGCAGCGTCATCACGCCCCTCGTATTGAGGTTGTCAGCGAGCGATATTAAATAGATTTCAAACTAAGTAGAACTATGGTTCCATTTGAAACGCTGATTCCATTAGGTGAACAAAACTGGTGATGGATGACCCCACAACGGATAACCCGTCCCGTGATGAGCCTGAACGTTAAAGCATAGGTTAGCCTACTCACACCCCAAACGCTGGAAGAAATGTTACGCCACTCGCATTTTGAGTCAATTGTGTACCGCTTTTAGTTCCTCGGTAGTCAATGAGTTCCATCCAACATGCCCAACAAAAGGGTTATCGAAAGAGCAGTCAGATGCATGTCCTCGAACACATTTATGTCTTGGTTAAGCCTCGCTAGGCGGCAGCTAATTCGTGCTTGGTCTTGGAATGGGAATAACAGTTGACATTCACGAGGCATTTGTTCCTAAGTTGCTTCAATGATGTCCTATCCATTTCTTAGGTTCACACTGATGTTCCGTGCATCTCCTAGGCTTGAGCAGTAATGCTCAAGTTCAGGCCACTAATGCCGCGACCAGGCCGACCTAGTAAAAGTAGAATTCAACGCCTTCCAAAACACGCTCTTTTCCACAAGATACATGTAGCACATCAAAACGTGACCTGTCGATGTAACACTTGTTAAATAGGAAAAAAGAGGTGTTATGGGCACAAGTGTGGGCTTTCTCCGATCGTGTGAGAACTCGCGACTACCGCTTCAAGATTTTGCAGGATTGACGTTCGATATCGGCGGCTGCACCAGAGAAATGATATGTGGGGCCCATCAGCGCGTTGTGTGCTGTCTAAGCACCACCCAGCGGGCTAAGCAATGGTCTGTTGCGCAGCAACGCTGGGATTCAACCGAGGAGGGGGGGGGGGGGGGCAGACCATGTCCGGTGTTCCTAGCCCGGGTCGAATTCAAACGCCGGAACCTTTGACAAGAAAACTGAAAAACTCGATGGTCACATCGCTTCATTCAACGCGAAGAGCAGCCGCCAAAACATTTGGTCTTACACAGTGCTCAACCCCTAATCATTTCGAAACGTAACTAGTACAACCCCGACCATTCGGCCGATCCTCACCCGTACGCCAGTCTGCCGAGCCGGCGGGCTGCGTGTCTGCCGCCCGTGCTCCATCCGACGGATCTCGGCGTGGGCAGTAGTCAAACTAAGCTTATGTAAAGGCAATATGGGTTTGAGGCGACGAGGAACCAAGACCGTCCGGCCCGACCGAGCACACCATTCCTTCCATTCCCAAAATCCATTCCAAAATCCTTCCATCCATTTCCAAAAGCATTTCCCTGAAGTTCAGCCACGCCCTTTTTAAAACAAAAACGAAATCGTCTCACTCCTGAGTGTGGGAAAAACTTCCGTTTTCTGGTGGATGTGGCACCAGGAAATTTTATACTCCAGGCTCTAGACTGGTAAGAATGACAATTTTTGTACTCCAGACAAATGCTGCAGTCGTCCCACAAAGCAGACACCATTGCAAATGTATGAGCCTGAGTATAAGTACCAAGACAGACAGTTTTGCTTTCTTGATAGCGAGGAGGGTGCATGAACTTTGCTTTCATAAAGTGAGTTAAAACTTTTATTTGATTTCCAGGGACCAAACATATGGAACACCAATAAATGGAAACAAGCATTTGCAATCCTGCAGGAGCTGGCCAACCCAGGGCGTTCATGTCAATGTCCTTCATCGTTGCATTACATGGGTTAGATGCACTTGTACAAGTCTATGCAACCCCTGAAGGGTGATGACAACTCATGTGAGTTACTTCTGTGGAAATGAAATAAACTGAAATATGAAATGTGCTTGCTTTAAGTACCTACCGCTGCCACATACATCACATGTCATTACCTATGGGGAAAATATATGGCGCACCTGAGTAAGACCGCATTCTCCACGACGCACACACCTACCGTTACCTTTTCAAGAAACGGACAGACATATCACGGCTCTGGCTCCCACCACGCGGCGAACCCATCGCCTCCCGTACCCGAAACCAACGGCAGCCCAGCCTCCTGCAACTGACGAGTGCATTTTCGAGCAGTGGAGGTCCGTGTGACAACAGACACCTACAACAATATTCGTTCGACCAGAAAACCACTAGCAGCACCAAAATCACCGATGACACATCTATTTCAACTAGATCATTCAAAGATTCGCAGAGCAAGGAGTCCAGGATGCTAACTATGCTCTTAACTTACCTCATATTAAGAAAACGTGTTAGCGATTTTACCAAATGACGTGCATCTTGCAAACGGTTTGGTGGGAAAATTATTGCAGCATGCAGAAAATTATTAAAAATTATTAAATTATAGTTATATTTCATTATTAAAATTATTTAAAAATTATTAATATTATATAATATTGCAGCATTGCACATCTTTTTCAAAGCGCTTGTTTCATTCCCGCTCCTGCCATACCAGCCACTAATCACCATCCAACTTGCAACTAAACCGAAAATCATAGCATTCAAACACACCACATATCGGCACTTTTAAGACAGAATCATGACATTAAATGGCATCCCAATATCACGTTTGTGAGCGACACTTTTGGTGGTAACGGCTCCTTTTGGGTTCTTAAATGTCATCGGAAATTACGTTCCCAAAATGGGAGTTTGTGGCATGCAGCATTCCAAAACTTATCACTATTGCATAAATGATAGTAGGTCAGCCACTTTTTCAGAAATCGGTAAATACCGGTCTGAAGATTCGGGGATATCTTACTTATTTAACAACGGTATCACGTCTCCAGGCTCAACCAGTACCCATACTTGTAAGATCGAGATGGTCCATAACCCGGTGGGAAAAATCGCAGTACTTGGTTGCCCTTCTCACGATGGGGCCCATGGGGAGACCCGGGGAGAACAAGCCGGAGTACAAGCCGGAGAACAGCAAGTTTTTAGCAAAGTTAGCCAAATTGAAGTGAAAAATTTACGTGTTTTGGTGTCACCCAGACACGGGCCTTCCTCAGAGGGTGATGAAATGACATGATATGCCTTAGAATGAGAAATATCTATCGATTTGTAGTATAGGTACTGCATTATCTCGGCGTTGTCTTGCGCCACCAGAAGATAAGGTATATTTGTAGGTGGAAAATAACAACTTGAAATGCATGGCTGTAAAGCTCTATGATTTGTCTACCACAACCTTAACAATTTCTGTTCGTGCAACTGCATAAATGGCTATTCTTAGACTATTCATCACAGCCTGTCATTTCAGGACCGACTCGTGGTACTTGTACTTGGTTGGCCCATTGACGAGTGCTAGAATGCCATCACAATGTGAATGCGCCAGAACTCCTGCGCGTGGCTTGGTTGTTTGTCTTGATGTGGTGGGAGTGAGGGGGCCGGAGGATGAGTGAAGCTGCTTGGGATTATGTGCATCGTAGTTGCGAGTTTGAGGTTTTGAGTGAGGCAAGGTGGAATTGGTTGTCTTCGATTTTCACACAGCATGCATCCACACTTTTAAAGTTACTTGGGATTTAGTTTCGGACCGCTATTAAGTCATTCTAAAAAAGGTAAATAAATACCGGGGGACTGATCTATAAATGTTAACCACTGCAGGCCGGTGCAGAACCACCTTGTTATAACCTGCTCTACCTACAGCATGGTGGGTAGGTACGTAGGCACTAAGGTATCTATATACAACATTAATGCTAGGCTTGGGTTTCCCATGTGGGATCAAATATGAGGCTGGCCTCTTTTCAGCCTGTGGTTATAATTGCTGTAACCTGACAGGTGGCAATGCTGCCATGTTCCTTGCTGTCAGACGTTAGGTCCTGCAGTGACACTATTAAAATTGTCCCTGCATAGGATCATAGGGAACTTGGAGAAGAGGAGAGGCATAACGGGAGGTGCGGGAAGAGAGGACGAGTAGAAGTGGAGGAGTGGAAGGAGAAGAGTGACAGAAAGAGAAGGTGAGGAACTGAAAAAGGAGAAGAGCAGAAAGAGAAGGATAGGAAGAGGAACACTTTTGGTATGTTTATATTAATTATGTGCAGGCCAAAAGGACTACATGCTAGTGATGTCACATACATAAGGTTTTCATAGTCAGTTGCATCTGCCTAAGACTCATTAAAAAAACAGGGTGTGATGCACAGTGGTTGTCCACAATTCAGTTTGTCAGTAAGCAGAGGATGCATCTGATTTATCATTTTGATATTGTGTAAGTTTGCATGTAGATAGGTAATGATATGTAACTGAGCTTTGTATGATGCACCTGTGAATGCATATGTATAAAGTTTTGTTGTTAACCTCTCTATCTGTATATTTCTTATTGACATGTACCATTAATCAATCTTTGCATGTATAGGTGAGCTAGTAGCACTACAGGGATGTGGATGAGATCGGTGTGGCGCCCTCACCCACAAGAAGTGCTCTGTTCCACTTAAATGCAAAATTGCATGCTGACACTAATTTTTGCCAGAAAAAACACTGGGAAAATGTTGACCCCTTAAAGGCAGTATGTAATGTACTCCAAGCAAGGCCCCGTTGTGCAGACAGTCATTCCGCATTAGATAGACCTTTGCTTGCAGACAAGTTTGTACTCCGACCACAAAAAATTTTTCACTCCGCCACCAGCAGAAAAAAACTGAATTTCCCACCCTGCTCTTGAGCCTGACGCACGCAGACTTATCCAGCCAATTTCGCGCCGCTTTCTTGAAAGACGCCCAGATATATGAGTCCACACGAACGTCACGTAATTACTCTCGCCGCATTGATCGTATTGTGCTCGTAGTCAACACAAATGTGGTCACCGA